CTGGTTTTATTCCATGTGGTCTGAGAAGGTATTTAATATAATTTCAATTTACACAATTTTTTTGAGACTTCTTATGTTTTCTAACATATGATTAATCTTGGAAAATGTTCCACGTGCTGATAAAAAGAATGTGTCCTCCACAGCTCTTGGGCAAATGTTCTGTAAATGGCTATTAAGTTCATTTGGTCTATGGTGCAGTTTAAATCCTGTGTTCTTTGTTGATTTTTCTGTTTAGATAATCTCTCCAACACTGACAGTGAAATTTTGAAGTACCCAAATATTATTTTATTGTTTCACTTTAGATCCAATATTTCCTTTATGTATCTGGGTGCTCCAGTGTTGGGTGCATATATATTTAAAATTGTTATATTTTCTTGCTGAATTGATCCCTTTATTATTATATAACATTATCCTTTTTCTCCTTTTTACAGTTTTTGACTTGCAGTCTGCTTTGTCTGATATAAGCCTAGCTACTCTTGCTTGCTTTTCGTTTACCTTTGCGTGAAATATCTTTTTCCATCCTTCACATTCCATCTATGTATGTCTCTACAGGTGAAGTGAGTTTCTTATAGGGAACACATAGTTGGCTATTATTTCTTTTTGTCCATTTATCCTATCTATATCTCTTAAATGGGGTATTTAATTTATTTACCTTCAAGGTTATTATTGATAGGTAAGAACTTATCCCTGTCTTTTTATTGATTGCTTTCTGGTTATTTTGAATATCTTATGTTTCTTTTTTTCTTCCTAGTTGTTTATTTTTGCAGTTGAATGGCTTTCTGTAGCAATCTGGGCATGTGAGACCCCCTGGGCTTCCAACCACCACAGATGCCTTTCTGCTTCCCCCTGAACTCCAGCACTCTCCCTTTAACATTTCAGTTAAATCTTGTTTATTCATTACATTGTTCCTTTCTTGTCCTGACTATTCTTTTTTATTCAGTATGTTATATGATTCCATTTTATTTCCAGTATTGGCTTATTACTCATGTCTCTTTTAAAAAATACGTTTTACTCTGTTAACATATGATTCACAATGTACATCCTTAATTTATCATAGTCTGTCTTCAAATGATATTATGCTTCCTTATGTGTAGTGTAAAACAAATACAACACTATATTTCCAAATCCTCCCTCCCATTTTTAATGCTATTTTTATCATATGGTATAATGAGTTTATAGTGTATGTATATTTTACATACTTTTAAAAATGTTTACATACACTATAAACTCGTACTACAATACAACAATATTTGCTGTAGATAATGTATTGTTAGAACAATTAAAACTAGAAAGGTATATTTTGCCTTCATTTTAGTTATACTCAGAGCTCATGATTACTTTATGTAGGTCCAAATTTCAGTTCTTTGTGGTAATTCTTCTGCCTGAAAAATTTCATTTGGCATTTCTTTTAGTGCACGTCTGCTACTATCAAATTCTCTTGGCTTTTGCATCTCTGAAAAAAAAATTTTTTTTCAAAGACATTTCATTAGGTATAAAATTCTAGGTTTACAGTTTGTGTGGGGTTTGGTTTTTTTTGTTTGGTTGGCTGTTTTGTCTTTTTGTCTTTCAGTGCTTAAAGCTATTACCCCTTTGTCTTCTGGCTTGCATAGTTTTTAGATAAGCAGTATGCTGTAACTCTTATCTTTGACCTTCTGCTTGTAGCATTTCCTTTCATTGTCATTGCCTTAAATATTTCCTTTTAATCTTTGGTTTTCCACAGTGTGAATGAGATGTGTTTGGATGTTTATTTTTTATTCTGCTTGAAGTTCCCTAAATTTCTGGAGTCTATGATTTGATTATTTAATTACTTTTGAAAAATTCTTGGTCATTATGTCTTCAAATATTTCCTCTGCCACAATCACATTCTCGTTCTCTCCCCCTGTCAACCCCTTCTTGTAACCTTTTCACTTTTTTCGAGGATTCCAGTAATGCATGTGCTAGGCTCTTTCATATTGCCCCATACTCTTGGATGCTTATTTCTGGGTTCCCTCCCTTCAACTCTTTCATCTCTTTGTACTTTAATTTGGCTAATTTCTACCAACCTTTTATCAAGCTTACTGATTCTTTCTTTTGCTGTGTTAAATCTACTGACAAACTCATCAGAGATATTTTTCATCTCTTTTACCATGCTTTTTATTTTTTATATTTCCATTTGACTCTTTATAATATTGTTGATTGTATCTAGTAAAGTCAAATTCAGTCTACTTTCAAAATACTCAGACCTTTTACTAAACTGTTTTTAAGATTTTCTCTGCTGTCTTTTTTTTTTAAGCAATTTTTCTCTGATAATACCTAGGTGCAAAATAATTTTTAACCTTAGTTTTTATTCATAAGATATATTGTTGTTTTTCACCAGGTCTGGAATATTCTCAGTCATTAGCTTTTCAAATATTGCTTCTTATTTATTCTGTCCTTTGTTCTCCTTCTGAGACTCAAAATACATGGATCTTTTCCCTTCCCACACTATCACTTATGTTTCCTGCCCTCTTTCTGTATATCCCATCTTTTTGTCTCTTCATGCTTTATTGTCAATATTTTCTTCTTACCTATATTGCAATTCATTAAATTGCTTCAGTTTTATCACATTTGCTGTTTAACTAATTCATTAATTTGTGTTCTAATATTTGTTTCTTTTTTCCAAATCTATTTTTAATAACTTCCAGTTCTTTGCTAAAATTTTCAGTCTTGTCTCTTATCTCCCTATTTATGCAAACAGTTGGTTTAAAGTCTGATAATTGTTTGAAGTCTGATAGCACAAACATTGGCAGCCACCATAGCTGTTTCTATTTTCCATTATTTCCATTGGTCTCATTCGTATTGTCTTATTTCCTTGTGTGCCTAGCTATTTTTACTGTGGGCTAAATACTGTACTTAAAATTGTTATAGGAGTAGCCTGATGCCTGGGATAATTTTGTATATTCATATATTCTTCCAAACATATATATTTATGTTTGAAAAGCTTCTAGGATCCCCACTAATGATCCAAGATTATTTTAATCCAAACTGGGCTACAGTTTCTGCCAGAGCTATCCTACTTCCACTTCCCTCTTAATCCCCAAATCAAGGGATAGCATGTCTACCTTGGTTGACCTGAATTCCAATGTTTTCTCCTCAGCCCAGTAATGTGTTCCTCTACCTCCTAGTCCCTCTACTACCTCTTGCTGAGTTAGGAAATGTGTCAAGAGGACTAGTAGCCCTGGAATACTGGGCCCAACTCTTGGATTTCCACCTCCTCCCAGATCTTAGCTCTGTGAATTTTTATTTCCTTGTTAGTTCTCCGGGGTCTTTTAGCAGTTTTTTTTAAAAAAAAAAATGTTTGGTTTTATTTTGTTTAGCTTTTCTCATTGTCTTTAGGGAAAAGATGAGAAAGATGAGTCCACATTATTTAATCCATCAATCCATCATTACTCTTTTGCAGGAATTTGTGGGTGGTGGTGGTTGTTGTTGTTGTTTTGTTTTGTTTTGTTTTTTGTTTTTTTTTTCTTTTTGGCTCTGGGGTCTCTAGATTTTTATTTCTTTTAAGTTTTGTGGTCTCTTGTTTTAAAGTGCTCTGCCACCAAAGTGCCTCTATTTCTAACAGTTTATTCACTCAAACAGCTCTTGCTAGTTACTCAATTGAATTTGCTTAAATTAAGTGAACATATAAATTTCCCTATATATGTTATGCTATCTCCATTATAAGAACTTTTTAATTTTTTTCTATGATCATCAAGCTGCGCAATAGATCTTCTGAACTTACTGCTTCTATCTAGCTAAAATTTTGTATCTTTGGAACAACATCTTCCCAGCTTCCTCCTCTTTAAAAACTTCCAAAATTCTTTACTATATGCCTGGAATAGTCTTCTGTCTGCCTTGACACCTTCAAATCTCAGCTCAATATATATTGACAAAGCTTTCCAAACTTCCTTGATTTCAGTGTAGCAACTGTATATCTTACTGCAGGAATTTGAGTGTGCCAAATAAGTAATTTTACTTCATTTTCTTCACATCTAATTTAATTTGATTTTAAGATCCTGTCCCTCCAGGTTGCTAGAAAATTCACCTTTCGTTTATTTGTTGGATGGGGCTCAGGAAATTTTTTCCCTGTTGTATAAATTGGTACAAGAATCCTGACACTTCTGTCTGGGAAATGGAGATATAATTTACATAAGTCTTTAGTTCATCGTAGTCACCTTAATAACCTTATTGTTCAGGCTCACATGTTCACTAGAAGTCAAATATTTCCAAGCCCTCCATGCCAGGCTTGCAAATAGAAATCACTGACAAAACTGGATTCCTGATACTTCATATGCAGCTTCTTTAAGGCACCCCACAGGTCCTGTTATCTCCCCAAATAGCTGCTATATATCTAGCTATGGTTTCCTGTTATTTGAGGTATGTACTAACTTCTATCCCCTTTCCATTCTGGATGAATCTCTTTCCTTGGTGACATTCTTCTATATTCTTTCCCCAGCAAAAATTTCTCAATGAATTTAGACTTTTAGAGAGAAAAAAAAAAAACAAGAAAGAAATAAGAAAAAGGCTGCCTTCAGGGTCATTCCGGACTTGGCATTGGCATTGCACACAACCCTCCTCTTAGGCAAGAGATAGCAAGCATCTGGTTACCTTCTGGAAGAGAAGGAATAAGGCAGCAAAAACAATTCACAAAATAATATGTCAATAAATTATCAAGCCAGAAGTTTAAGTCCCTCAGTTGTTCATTTTTAAAGCACACATAATACCTGTATTTTTGTAGCACCTATCACAGTTTCTATTTGAAATTTATGCATCATTATTTTATTAACATCAGTGTCCTTAACTCCATAATATGACCTCCCTGATAGCAGACATCTTGACTAGTTTTGATTATTTAAAAGTTAACATCACATCTGGCAATAATAATACATTCAATAAGCCTTTGTTGAATTAATGAATCAGTGAATGAATAATTAAGTAAAGTGTATTCTACAAGCTCTCTCAGTTAAAAAGGACCTAAAATTAAATGTTTTGCTTCCTTACAGCTGTCTCCTATATATAATCTGGTTCCAGTGAAAATGAAAAATGCACACCTAAAGAAACAAAACTTGGAAAGAGCCATTGAAGACTACATCAATGAATTTAGTGTAAGAAAATGCCACTCATGCCAAAATGGAGGTACAGCAATTCTAATGGATGGAAAGTGTTTGTGTACCTGCCCATTCAAATTTGAGGGAATTGCCTGTGAAATCAGTAAACAAAAAGTTTCTGAAGGTGAGGACAATTTATTTGATGTGATTAAAGACAAAAATATGTACTTTGGGGTTATTTAATTTGAAAACTAGCTCTTGAATTAATTTGTACTAAATCTCTAGATTATTTATATAAACAGAGGATAAGGATTGAGTGAATAGTGAAAATGGGTAAATCAGCCTTTATGTGTCATTTAACATATTCTACTTGTATATATTAAAATAGAATTATAAATAAATAAATTATAATTATTGTATTACTCTTTAATTATAAAAATATTCTTATGTAAGGTTTACAGAAATATAACAAGCATCCAGGTATTCACTATCTAGAATTGATGAATGTTAATACATATATGTCATATATACTTTATATAAATGTATATATTATATACTGTGCATATATATGTGTTTATGTGTAAAGACATAGACATATATACTTCAAAACCTTTTTTAGGAAGCAACAATAATGCGTCCAATTAATTACTTTGTACCACATCCCTGCCCCCCCAAAAAAATTCCATTGCCTTTTCTCTCTTCTACTGCTCAGATACAATCATTTTCACTAAGTTTGTATGTATCTTTCCAGTTCATATTTTTGTGCTTGTACTAAATATGTACCAATGAAAAATATGTGATATTGTTTTGTATATTTTTAAATTTTATATAAATGATATTCACTAGATTTTTATTTTGCACTTTTAACTGTATTGGTGTTTTTAAAAACTGAGATTCTGTATTGTATTTTAAAGTTAATTCTAAGGAAACATATTGTTTTATGTTTAAAAATATTTGTATTATGAATTTAAAGGGTACATGTGAAGGTTTGTTACAAGGATATATTGCATAACGGTAAGCTTTGGGCCTCTGGTGTACCTATCACCCAAATAGTGGACATTGTACCCAATAGGTAATTTTTCAACCCTCATCCCCCTCCCATCCTCGCCATTTTTGGAGTCCTCACTGTCTATTATTTCCTTCTTTATGTCCATACATACCCATTGTTTAGCTCCCACTTATAAGCCAGAACATGTGGTATTTGATTTTCTATTTCTGGGTTATTTCACTTAGGGTAATGACCTCCCACTCCATCCATGTTGCTCCAAAAGACATGATTTCATTCTATTTTATGGATGAATAATATTCTGTGGTGCATATGTACCACATTTTCTTTATCCAATCATCCATTGATGGACATGAAAGTTGATTCCACTGTGGTCTGAGAGACAGTTTGTTATAATTTCTGTTCTTGTACATTTGCTGAGGAGTGCTTTACTTCCAATTATGTGGTCAATTTTGGAATAAGTGCAATGTGGTGCTGAGAAGAATGTATATTCTGTTGATTTGGGGTGGAGAGTTCTATAGATGTCTATTAGGTCTGCTTGCTGCAGAGATGAGTTCAATTCCTGGATATCCTTGTTAACTTTCTGTCTCGTTGATCTGTCTAATATTGAGAGTGGAGTGTTGAAGTCTCCCATTATTATTGTATGGGAGTCTAAGTCTCTTTGTAAGTCTCTAAGGACCTGCTTTATGAATCTGGGTGCTCCTGTATTGGGTGCATATATATTTAGGATAGTTAGCTCTTCCTGTTGAATTGATCCTTTTACCATTATGTAATGGCTTTCTTTGTCTCTTTTGATCTTTGATGGTTTAAAGTCTGTTTTATCAGAGACTAGTATTGCAACCCTGTCTTTTTTTTGTTCTCCATTTGCTTGGTAAATCTTCCTCCATCCCTTTATTTTGAGCCTATGTATGTCTCTGCGTGTGAGATGGGTCTCCTGAATACAGCAGACTGATGGGTCTTGACTCTTTATCCAGTTTGCCAGTCTGTGCCTTTTAATTGGAGCATTTAGTCCATTTACATTTAAGGTTAAGATTGTTATGTGTGAACTTGATCCTGCCATTATGATATTAACTGGTTATTTTGCTCGTTAGTTGATGCAGTTTCTTCCTAGCCTAAATGGTCTTTACATTTTGGCATGTTTTTGTAATGGCTGGTACCAGTTGTTCCTTTCCATGTTTAGTGCTTCCTTCAGGGTCTCTTGTAAGGCAGGCCTAGTGGTGACAAAATCTCTAAGCATTTGCTTATCTGTAAAGGATTTTATTTCTCCTTCACTTATGAAACTTAGTTTGGCTGGATATGAAATTCTGGGTTGAAAATTCTTTTCTTTAAGAATGTTGAATATTGGCCCCCACTCTCTTCTGGCTTGGAGAGTTTCTGCCAGAGATCTGCTTTAGTCTGATGGGCTTCCCTTTGTGGGTAGCCCGACCTTTCTTCTGGCTGCTCTTAAGATTTTTTCCTTCATTTCAACTTTGGTGAATCTGGCAATTATGTGTCTTGGAGTTGCTCTTCTCGAGAAGTATCTTAGTGGCGTTCTCTGTATTTCCTGGATTTGAATGTTGGCCTGCCCTACTAGGTTGGGGAAGTTCTCCTGGATGATATCCTGAAGAGTGTTTTCAAAGTTGGTTCCATTTTCCCCCTCACTTTCAGGCACCGCAATCAGACGTAGATTTGGTCTTTTTATATAATTCCATACTTCTTGCGGGCTTTGTTCATTTCTTTTTCTTCTTTTTTCTTTTGGTTTCTCTTCTCGCTTCATTTCGTTCATTTGATCCTCAGGACTAAGAAACTCAATCAAAACCGCCCAACTACATGGAAACTGAACAACCTGCTCCTGAATGACTACTGGGTACATAACGAAATGACGGCAGAAATAAAGATGTTCTTTGAAACCAATGAGAACAAAGATACAACATACCAGAATCTCTGGAACCAATTTAAAGCAGTGTGTAGAGGGAAATTTATAGCACTAATGCCCACAAGAGAAAGCAGGAAAGATCTAAAACTGACACTCTAACATCACAATTAAAAGAACTAGAGAAGCAAGAGCAAACGCATTCAAAAGCTAGCAGAAGGCAAGAAATAACGAAGATCAGAGGAGAACTGAAGGAGATAGAGACACAAAAAACCCTCCAAAAAATCAATGAATCCAGGAGTTGGTTTTTTGAAAAGATCAACAAAATTGACAGACCACTAGCAAGACTAATAAAGAAGAAAAGAGAGAAGAATCAAATAGACGCAATAAAAAATGAAAAAGGGGATATCACCACTGACCCCACAGAAATACAAACTACCATCAGAGAATACTATAAACACCTCTATGCAAATAAACTAGAAAATCTAGACGAAATGGATAATTTCCTGGACACTTACACTCTTCCAAGACTAAACCAGGAAGAAGTTGAATCCCTGAGTAGACCAATAACAGGCTCTGAAATTGAGGCAATAATTAATAGCCTACCAACCAAAAAAAGTCCAGGACCAGATGGATTCACAGCTGAATTCTACCAGAGGTACAAGGAGGAGCTGGTACCATTCCTTCTGAAGCTATTCCAATCAATAGAAAAAGAGAGAATCCTCCCTAACTCATTTTATGAGGCCAACATCATCCTGATACCAAAGCCTGGCAGAGACACAACAAAAAAAGACAATTTTAGACCAATATCCCTGATGAACATGGGTGCAAAAATCCTCAATAAAATACTGGCAAACCGGATTCAGCAGCACATCAAAAAGCTTATCCACCATGATCAAGTGGGCTTCATCCCTGGGATGCAAGGCTGGTTCAACATTTGCAAATCAATAAACATAATCCAGCATATAAACAGAACCAAAGACAAGAACCACACGATTATCTCAATAGATGCAGAAAAGGCCTTTGACAAAATTCAACAGCCCTTCATGCTAAAAACGCTAAATAAATTCGGTATTGATGGAACGTACCTCAAAATAATAAGAGCTATTTATGACAAACCCACAGCCAATATCATACTGAATGGGCAAAAACTGGAAAAATTCCCTTTGAAAACTGGCACAAGACAGGGATGCCCTCTCTCACCACTCCTATTCAACATAGCGTTGGAAGTTCTGGCTAGGGCAATCAGGCAAGAGAAAGAAATCAAGGGTATTCAGTTAGGAAAAGAAGAAGTCAAATTGTCCCTCTTTGCAGATGACATGATTGTATATTGAGGAAACCCCATTGTCTCAGCCCAAAATCTCCTTAAGCTGATAAGCAACTTCAGCAAAGTCTCAGGATACAAAATTAATGTGCAAAAATCACAAGCATTCTTATACACCAGTAACAGACAGAGAGCCAAATCAGGAATGAACTTCCATTCACAATTGCTTCAAAGAGAATAAAATACCTAGGAATCCAACTTACAAGGGATGTAAAGGACCTCTTCAAGGAGAACTACAAACCACTGCTCTGTGAAATAAAAGAGGACACAAACAATGGAAGAACATACCATGCTCATGGATAGGAAGAATCAGTATCGTGAAAATGGCCATACTGCCCAAGGTAATTTATAGATTCAATGCCATCCCTATCAAGCTACCAATGAGTTTCTTCACAGAATTGGAAAAAAACTGCTTTAAAGTTCATATGAAACCAAAAAAGAGCCCGCATCTCCAAGACAATCCTAAGTCAAAAGAACAAAGCTGGAGACATCACGCTACCTGACTTCAAACTATACTACAAGACTACAGTAACCAAAACAGCATGGTACTGGTACTAAAACAGAGATATAGACCAATGGAACAGAACAGAGTCCTCAGAAATAATACCACACATCTACAGCCATCTGATCTTTGACAAACCTGAGAGAAACAAGAAATGGGGAAAGGATTCCCTATTTAATAAATGGTGCTGGGAAAATTGGCTAGCCATAAGTAGAAAGCTGAAACTGGATCCTTTCCTTACTCCTTATACGAAAATTAATTCAAGTTGGATTGGAGACTTAAATGTTAGACCTAATACCATAAAAACCCTAGAGGAAAACCTAGGTAGTACCATTCAGGACATAGGCATGGGCAAAGACTTCATGTCTAAAACACCAAAAGCAACAGCAGCAAAAGCCAAAATTGACAAATGGGATCTCATTAAACTAAAGAGCTTCTGCACAGCAAAAGAAACTACCATCAGAGTGAACAGGCAACCTACAGAATGGGAGAACATTTTTGCAATCTACTCATCTGACAAAGGCCTAATATCCAGAACCTACAAAGAACTCAAACAAATTAAAAGAAAAAAACAAACAACCCCATCAAAAAGTGGGCAAAGGATATGAACAGACATTTCTCAAAAGAAGACATTCATACAGCCAACAGACACATGAAAAAATGCTCATCATCACTGGCCATCAGAGAAATGCAAATCAAAACCACAATGAGATACCATCTCACACCAGTTAGAATGGCGATCATTAAAAATCAGGAAGCAACAGGTGCCGGGTAGGATGTGGAGAAATAGGAACACTTTTACACTGTTGGTGGGATTGTAAACTAGTTCAACCATTATGGAAAACAGTATGGCGATTCCTCAAGGATCTAGAACTAGATGTACCATATGACCCAGCCATCCCATTATTGGGTATATACCCAAAGGATTATAAATCATGCTGCTATAAAGACACATGCACACGTATGTTTATTGCGGCACTATTCACAATAGCAAAGACTTGGAATCAACCCAAATGTCCATCAGTGACAGACTGGATTAAGAAAATGTGGCACATATACACCATGGAATACTATGCAGCCATAAAAAAGGATGAGTTTATGTCCTTTGTAGGGACGTGGATGCAGCTGGAAACCATCATTCTTAGCAAACTATCACAAGAACAGAAAACCAAACACCGCATGTTCTCACTCATAGGTGGGAACTGAACAATGAGATCACTTGGACTCGGGAAGGGGAACATCACACACCGGGGCCTATCATGGGGAGGGGGAAGGGGGGAGGGATTGCATTGGCAGTTATACCTGATGTAAATGACGAGTTGATGGGTGCTAACGAGTTGATGGGTGCAGCACAGCAACATGGCACAAGTATACATATGTAACAAACCTGTGCGTTATGCACATGTACCCTAGAACTTAAAGTATAATAATAATAAAAAATAAATAAATAAATAAGAAAGTTGTTTCCATGACTTTGCTATTGTAAATAGTGCAGCAGTAAACATATGTGTGCAGGTTTCTTTTTCATATAAAGATTTATTTTCCTCTGGGTAGATACCCAGTAGTGGGACTGTTGAGTTGAGTGGTAGTCCTATTTTTAATTTTTTGAGAAATCATCTCTATTCTCTTACCGTATACAAAAATTAACTTGAGATAGATTAAAGACTTACATGTAAGATCTGAAACTCTAAAAATCCTAGAGGAAAATCTAGGAAAAACTCTTCTGGACATTGGCCTACACAAATAATTTATAACTAAGACCTCAAAAGCAAATGCAATAAAAACAATAATAGACAAATAGGACTCAATTAAACTATTTTACTTCTTACAAGTAAACATGACTTTAGCCATGTTTCTAATACTAAGAGTTTATGCTTAGTCTTTCATTCAGGTAAAATTATTCAGACTCCTAATAGATAAGTGAGATCTTAGTCCAAGTGTTAATATCACAAGATTAGCTAGTAAGATTAACTTTCTATGGCAATCATTGTTTGAACAAATACAATTTCCTGCAACAAAATTCCAAAACAATTATGTAGCTTCCTAAAGCAAAGATTCACAGCCTCATTTATCATTCAACCATACTTTCATCTCTTGCAATACAAATTTTTAATATTTTAAGAATTGTTTACACTTCTTAGCAAATGGCTTAGAAACTCGATGTGGTGACAAAATATGTAAGTTAGAATTTTTTAAAAATTTTAGAATAATTGACTTATAAATGTATGCTAACTCTGTCTCTCATTTGTCTAAAGTCTCAATCTAGTATTTGCATTCCAAAGAAACATTCTTACTCTCCAAAAATTTATACTACTTGGTACTTGGAACTTCTATTTTCTACCTATTTCTCTTTAAGTAGAATATTCTGCTGATTTCTCTGTGATTTCTTTAGTTCTATCTTCTAATTTTCCAATTCTTTTATTCAACTATGTATAGTCTATCCATTTGCTGACCTATTGAGATTATTTTAAAATTATTTTTCTAAAATTTTGATTTGGTTATTTTTCAATTTTCTTTTGTCTTGTTTTTTCTCTTGTCTAGTTTACTGGACTATTTTCCTACCTTTATATCTTTCAACGTGTTAAATATATCTTCATGAAATTCTTTCAAATTGTTCCAGTATATATAGTTTCTGCAGTGCAATTCTCTGCTACATCTACCAGTTCATTCTCATGGCACATTATTCATTCTTCAGTACTTAGTGATTTTTTATTACAGGTTTAGTTTTTGGTGGGAATTATTTCCTGTGGAAACCCTATCTTCCCCGGATAATGAATGTATTCCTAGGGTTAGTTTGTTTCTTAGGAGGTTCCATCATTTTCATCAGTCTTGCACTAGATTTTTATGTAAATTTCTTGGTTCAGGTCCCATATGTTGTATTTCATAGATAATGAATATCAAGGTCCCTTCCCCAATATATAAAATTATCTTAGATCACTAGGCATTGTTTGGTTGACGTTTCAAACCTGACCCAGGATGGCCCACCAGCTTCTTGCTGAGACATTAGACATTTTCTGGCTGAATTTTTCCTTAAGGTAGATCTTCCAAGCATCCATTTTGACATAGAATGTTCTAGTTTCCAATTTACACTAGCCTACTCCCATGATGAGATTGAAAACCGTAATACATCATCTTTCTTTTTCTATACCATGTACTTAGCCTGGAATTCTTCCAACTTTCTCTCCCTCAACTAACTGAACCTTCTTCTCCCTTATTCCTTGTGTGTGTTTCTACTTCTAGACCAATGGTTCTCAACCAGGTTGGTCATTGGATTCATCTGGTTCACTTCCTTAAAGGACAAAAAAAAAAGAAACAAAATAAAACGGATGTCTATCCTAAGACAATTAAACAAAAGTAGCTATGGTAGATCCTACCTGGGCATGGGTTTTTTGTTTACTGAATTAAAAAAAAGAATCTACTGGTTATTCTAATCTTTAGCCAGGGTTAAAAACCTCTACTCTGAACCCAGGCCAATTTGCATATCTTTGATGAAACCTTTTCCAATTTCTCCAGGAATCAGTTCTCTATCTATGCTCCCTGAGAACTTTCCCTCTGTTTTTCCAGCACTAATCACATTGACTCTCTGTATACAAGATAAATAGCCCTTTCTAGTATGAGAATGTGCCTTATCCCTTAAACCACATTCTATTCCCAGCACCTAGACAGTATGGCACAATGTGGGGATAAGAAGGTGAAAAAGTGGATGGGTGGATGGACCCAAAGTAAAATCCTATTGATGATTAAGATTTGATACTCGTTTGTTTTCTCTAGGATTGCCAGCCCTAGACTTCCCCCGTGAAAAATAGAACTGTTGGCTTCTCTGAGCTCCAGTGGAAGAAAAGAACACTAGGACCTTCAGATCCTATCCCTGAAGATAATCTTAGCTGCCAAATAAATAGCAACATGCTTCATGAAAATCCTACCAACTTCTGAAGTCTCCTCTCTTAGGTCTATAATTATTTTTTAATTTTTCTTTCTTAAACTCCTATGATGTTTCCATTTTTTATTCCCTAATGAGGAGTCAAGAGTGAAATATGCCAGAACTGCTTTCTCCCACAGACAATGCCAATCTCTTCTAAAAAAAACAAAATTAAATTAAAACAGAATGTTGGTTTAAAAACTTCAAAGTAATTGTCAAACTGCTTTGTACGGTTAACATATTCTGCCAAGTCTATGACCACACGTCTGTACCATGCAATTTAACTCTTATTTACATTGTTATGTTTGGTTTGGTTATTTGCTTAGGTGTGCATACATTCATTCAGCAAATACTGAACACCAGCCACCTGCACAGCAGTTGCTTTTATTAGTCTTAACTCTACCATTTAAATCTATGTGTCCAAGGGGGAAAATGTGTTATATTTGTAACCAAAAACTACTAGTTTACCAAAGGCTGGAAGGGTAGTGGGGAAGGGAGATAAAGAGGAGATGATTAATACAAAAATCCAGTTAGATGAAAGGAATAATATATACAGTGTTCAGCAACACAATAGAGTGACTATAAACTATTAGCTTAAATTATGTGAAATTGCCTCTATTTGATCTTATTTTACAAGAAAAAAACATCAATTTTATATAGTCTAACTTAATACCTAGGCTTATGAGTTGTATAAGGTAACGTTACCTACCTGAGAAGCTGATTAACATTGGCTGTACAATCTTATCCATTAGAGAACATGATACTTAGGGTCTGAGACCTTTTGAAAAGGTCTGAAAACTCTTTAAAAAAAAGGAAAGAAAGAAAGAAATGAGGAAAAACATATCAAAATAAAAAAATGCAAAATCAAATTTAATAAATGCTTAGACATCAGCATGTGTCATGTTAACTTTATTGTTACTATTAATACACATTTCACACATTTATAAATAAATTATGTTACTTTTTCTCACTTGGGAGAAATTCTCAAGAATGCATTTGATTGCTGGGAGATAACAGTAACTAAATTACCTACATGCAAATAATAATAAATAAAGCAAAGTTTTAAAAAATAATTTTCAAAATTATTTTTAAATAGCAAATAAAAAGATTACTGGATATGGGATGTATTTTAATATGTTAGGTATGATATGGAGATCATGCTAATAAATGTACCCTGGCCCTTAAGAGTCTTGCATTTGCCCTGGGAGCTCCAGAGAAGTCCTGTCCCCTGCCCTTCAAAACACTGTGTGAATTAGAGAGGAGTAAGATTTGTTAAATGTATATAAATACTGAACTCTGTTCTTGAAGAAGCCACTATTGGGAGAGTTTTTGATGGAGAACATCTGGCTTAAGGCTGTTATTAGAGCAACACCTGGGAATTCCTTCTACTCTTAGGAATTACAAATGCCAAACAATAAAAGAGCTGAGCCTTGACCAGACCCCCTAGGGCCAGCTTAATCATTTATCAGAGTCCTTTCTAGGGTAATGAATAGCAGGAACAGCCCAGGTTCACACTTGATGGAGAGTCCTCCAACTTCTTGCCATAGGTGGTATATCTGATGATAGAGCATCTCCAGCAGGGAGCACCATTGAGACACCAGAAACTGCTCAGCAGTAATCAACACAGACCAGAAAGTCTCCAGGCTTCAACTAAGGGAGAATCTCTAGAAACCGTAAAAGTTGAGGACCTACTAGGCCTAGCATGGGTCATCATGGACTGTTGTTTGGAGAGAGCAGATGTAGCTTAGTTTGCCCACATGGAGTGCATTATAGGTGCCCCCTACCCCACATGCTCTCTGAGGGGGTGCACCACCAATTCAACGAAAGGGACAGGTGAAGACAACGGCCCTGTGAAGCCCAGGACAGAAAGTTGAATCATTATACTAAATCACTATCAAAAGAAGTTAGAGAAGTGGGATGGGTATTTATGTTCACTAGGGCCCCATGGATAAAGGAAGCTCAGAGTCTTGCTACTTTTTTACACTTTTCCCTTTTTATACTCAAAATTCAGGTCACTTATGCATTCTACTGATCACAGAGTAGACAGTCAACATACACCTGTTGTCTAATGTTTGACCTGTGGGTCACAGCATTCTCACCCTGGCTTTACACAACTGTCTCCCCTGCAAGGCCTTTTGATGGTTTTATGGGACCCAGCAATAGCGTCTCCTAAATTCGTCTCCTGGTAGATGATATGGTCTGGCTCTGTGTTGCCACCCAAATCTCATCTCAAATTGTAATCCCCATGTGTCGAAGGAGAGACCTGGTGAGAGGTGATTGGATCATAGGGGCAGTTTCCCCCATGCTTTCCTTGTGATAGGTGAGTCAGTTCTCACAAGAGCTGATCAAAGCCTAGTTTGGTTTGTTTCCTTAATGAAACAATTTTTATACACACACACATAATTCACAGGACAGTCAAATATCTGTCCTATGACAGATATTTGGCCCCCACCCTTTGCTCTTCCACCCCTAACTCATGCCCATTACCTACCATTATGCTAAGAGCAGCAAAATGGCCCAAGAAAAGGGGAAGGTATGGCTACTTAACAATGGGCAGGTTACTAAACCCCTAAGCCCTAAAATATGCTCAGGGATAATAATATCTCTTTCATAGAATTGTTAGGTTAATTTACTGAGATCATTTATACTGTAACCAAATGGAAATGCAATAAATAGTAATAATGGCTATTACTATTATTAGAACGCAGGACTATTAGTCAAAAATCTTCAAAGCGTAACTCTAACATTTGTGATATTAGATATATCAGTGTATTTTCCAACTTCTTTGGCCTAATCCTCTGTTGGGACAAAAACTGGGAATGAAGAAAGGAAGGAAAGAAAGGCAGAGACAGAGACAGAGAGAAGAAGAAAGAAAAAGGAAAGAAAGAAGAAATAAAATAAAAGAAAAAAGAAAAAGAAAGAAAGAGAAAGGGAGGGAGGGAGGAACGAAGGAGGGAAGGAAGGAAGGAAGGAAGGAAGGAAGGAAGGAAGGAAGGAAGGAAGGAAGGAAGAAGGCGCAGTGGCTCACGCCTGTAATTCCAGCACTTTGTGAGGCTGAGGTGGGCGGATCACAAGGTCAGGAGATCGAGACCATCCTGGCTAACACAGAGAAACCCCGTCTCTACTAAAAATACAAAAAATTAGCTGGGCATGGTGGCAGGTGCCTGTAGTCCCAACTACTCAGGAGGCTTGAACCTGGGAGGCAGGGCTTGCAGTGAGCTGAGATCGTGCCACTGCACTCCAGCCTGGGCGACTGAGCGAGACTCCGAAGAAAGAAAGAAAGAGAGAAAGAGAGAAGAGGAGGGGAGGGGAGGGAAAGGGAGGGGAGGGGAGAAAGGAAGAGAGAAGCCAGACACGGTGGCTCACACCTAATCCCAGCACTTTGGGAGGCCGAGGCGGGCGGATCAACTGAGGTCAGGAGTTGAAGAACAGCCTGGCCAACATGGTGAAACCCCATCTCTACTAAAAATACAAAAAAATTAGCCAGGTGTGGTAGCGGGCACTGTAATCCCAGCTACTCGGGAAGCTAAGGCACGAGAATCACTTGAACCCAGGCAGCAGAGGTTGGCAGTGAGATGAGATTGCACCACTGCACTCCAACCTGGGTGACAGAGCAAGACTCCATCTCAATAAAAAGAAAAAAAAAAGAAGAAGAAAGAAAAAGGAAGGAAGGAAGGAAGGAAGGAAGGAAGGAAGGAAGGAAGGAAGGAAGGAAGGAAGGAAGGAAGGAAGGAAGGAGGGAAGGAAGGGAAGACAAGGAAGGGAGGGAAAGGCAGGGAAGGGAGGGAGGGAAGGAAGAAAGGAAGGAAGGGAAGGAGGGAGGGAGGGAGGGAATGCAGGGAAGGCAGGGAGGGAGGGAAGGCAGGGAAAGAAGGAAGGAAGGAAGGAAGGAAGGAAGGAAGGAAGGAAGGAAGGACAGTCAGGGTGGGGGGACATCTGTCATGTGGAGCATTTTTTATAAAAAAGAATAAAAGCCAGTTTGGGAGGCTGAGGCAGGCAGATCATGAGGTCAGGAGATCGAGACCATCCTGGCTAACAAGGAGAGAGAAAGAGAGAGAGAAGGAAGGAAGAAGGAAAGAAGGAAGGATGGAAGAAAGGGAAGGAAGGAAGGAAGGAAGGAAGGAAGGAAGGAAGGAAGGAAGGAAGGAAGGAGAAATAATGAAAAATAGATCCACTTTTGATGTGGGGCCTTTTCTTTATTTTATTCATTAAAGAGCAAATCATCATTTAACAAAATGACAAAAACAATAAGCAACCCCATGAGAGTGTGTATCAGTTAAATCTTGTCTTAGACACTCATTGAGGCAAAGGGATTATGACTTAGATTCTGCTTCTGTGAAACATATGCGAGGACAAAAGAGGTGAGAAATCATGAAAAGAAAACAGCAGGACCCAATAGACCCACAGAGTCCATGCATTCTCAAAGACCCAAAGAGAGGGTGTGATATCAATTAGAAAAAACAAAAGCAAGGTAATACATAACCTAGAATTCTTCTATAAGCTTTGTTCTTTGTCTCTTTGCTCTCCAGGTTAACTGGTTTGACAAAAAAACAAAAAACAAAACAAACAAACAAACAAAAAACTCCTTAAGTGAAGTCTAGATTAATGTTTTCATTATCCTGTTTTGGCAGATTATTTTTACAGTAGTAAACATTCACCTGGGATTGGGTTTAAATTGTAAAGACAAATGCTCCCTTCTTTTCTTGAGTTTCAATACAATCTACTCATTCCATTAAAATGTGGCGGAAACTCTCCTTTTAATCAAAAGTAAGTTGATTAATAAGCTATTTCTTCCAGAGCACTGATGTTCTGAAGAGTTAAGACCGCCTTTCATTAAAAGTAGAAAGTACAGGAGTGAAAAAGTTCACTTTGTTTTTAAGACAAAAAGTGAAAGAGAAATAACCCAAATCAAGGAAGTCCCCACGTCCTCCTGCACAGCCTCCTTAAGCATTCCTGTTCTTATTCTGCTTTTTCCTGCTACTTCCCACTTGCTATTTCATATCTAGCCAAACAGGGAGACTGAATTTCCTTGAATTTTTATGCATCTGCTTGTAAGTTTGCTTTAATTTCATGATCAAAGAGCAGCACCATAGTGACCATCTCTTAGTAGCTGGCAATATTTTAGCCAAAGTTTCTCTTATAGCTTCCCATAAATGATGGGCTTCAAGGAAGGTTGTACATGCAGAATCAGTGTACAAAACAAACATT